AACTGCAAATAAAATATCAAAAAAATTTTAGAAAAAATGATTGAAACATATAAGGATTGACACGAGAAATTACCTTTTGGTCTATATGTGTATCGAACTTTCTTACGCACCTCTACTGGGGCAATTCTTTTTTCTTTAGTTTATAGAATAGAAGCTGTACTACCAGTAGAAGTAAAAATCCCATTGCTAAGGGTCTTAAGGAAAATGGGATTAGAAGAAGTTGAATGAATTCAGAAGTGTTATGAGCAATTGAACTTTATTGAGAAGAAGAGATTGATGGCACTTTGCCATGGCCAATTGCACCAAAAGAGAATGATGAGAGCTCATGACAAAAAGGTCAAACCTTATTAGTTTTGAGAATGAGAGTTGGTATTGAAAAGAATTTTTTCAAGTCAGCATGATGATAAAAGGAAATAGACCCTGAATTGAAAAGGATCATATGTTGTAAAAAGAGCCATTTCAGGAGAAGCTTTAATTTGGTTAGAAATGGATGGAGATGAATTTCCTAGTCCTATTAATTCTGATGCAGTGAAGAAGTACTTTGCTTAACCTAAAAAAAAAAACAAAAAAATGAAAAAAGGAAAAAGTTTAAGTTAAAAACCCAAAAGGGCAACTTGACAAAAAAAAAAAAACAAAAAAAGAGTCTAAGTTGAAAACTTGAAAGGGCAGCTTAGGCCCAAAAAGAAGTTTAAGTTGAAAACCTGAAAGGGCGGCTTGAACCAGAAATAAAAGGGTGACAAACTTTGATGAATAGAATATGGCATCACTTAAAAAGCATACCAGAGACAGTGAATTTCAAAGAACTCTGAGGTATCAAGGCATCATATTTTGGTTAAGTTTTGAAAAGAGATCAAAGATTTGTTGTCATGATTATCTGATTATTTATTTTGGGCATTGCTATTCCCAAACAACTGTCCCTGTACACTTTTCTTTTTACACCATCATTTGTAATTTGTTGCTTATTCGAATAAATGATAATAGTCTTATTATTCTCTCTTATTTGTCCTTTCTCTTCGTATCTTGCCATGAATAGAAAAAGTGCACAATTTACATTTCATATTTTGAAATTGGGATAATGATTAATAATTGAACAAAATCATAAGAAATTGTGTGTTACTTTGAAGAATTAAAGGAAATAAGGACCAAAGATGAATTCCTCTAAGTAAGAGAAAAGCAGCTTCCACAATTTTTCCTTGGAATAAGTATTCAGGCTAACGAAAAAAGGTTTCTTTGCCAAAAATGTATAGAAATGAAAATGCAGAAGCCTTTTACCTTAATTGATGTTTCATTTGCATTCTAAATAAAACATGCACTTACATTATCCACTCATTTGATCTTGGATCAATCCAAATCATTTCTTCTAAATCGTGCTTTCATCTCGGTTATTTATTTTTGACCTCGACTTGGTCTTTTATTTTCGACCTTGACTCGATCTTGGTCGCTACATTTTTTACTAGTGGTTTCGTCTCGGTCACCTGATCTTGGCTTAGTCTAGATCATTTCTTATGATTCGTGATTTCATCCTAATCATTTATTTTTTACCTCGATTCAGTCTTGGTCGTTCATTTTTGACTCGTGGTTTCATCTTGGTCACTTGATCTTGGCACAGTCTAGATCATTTCTTATGATTCATGGTTTCATCCCGATCATTTAGTTTTTACCTTGACTCGGTCCTGGTCACTTTATTTTGATTGTGGTTTCATCCCGGTCACTTGATCTTAGCTCAGTCTAGATCATTTCTTATGATTCATGGTTTCATCTTGATCATTTATTTTCAACCTCGACTTGATCCTGGTAACTTTTATTTTGACTCGTGGTTTCATCTCAGTCACTTGATCTTTGCTCAGTTCAGATCATTTCTTATGATTCGTGGTTTTATCTCGATCATTTATTTTTTACCTCGACTCGATCCTAGTCGTTTTATTTTGACTCGTAATTTCATCCCGGTCATTTGATCTTGGTTCAGCCCAGATCATTTCTTATAATTTATGGTTTCATTTCGATCATTTATTTTTAACCTCAACTCGATCCTAATCACTTCATCTTAGCTCGTGGTTTAGTCCTGATCACCGATTTTGGTCCAGTCCAGGTCATTTTTTATATTCGAATATCGTTTTTGATTCGACTCAAATAGAGTGGCTATCTAGGTCTTTGCAACATCCTTGTCTAACAAAGATATGCAAAGAGGGGCAGCTATAGACATACATTTATGTTCGAACCCAATTAGACCCATTGGTGTCTGAGCCTAATTAGGCCTATTGATGTCCGGGCCCAATTAAACCCATTTTTGTCTGAGCCTAATTGGGTCGACCTTTTTTTTATTAATGTCACTATTATTTGATTATTATTATTATTATTTCTTTCTTTGGTATTTCTGTGTATATATTATTATTATTATTATTATTTCCATTTCTCTCTTTCCTTTTCTTTTGTTCCTTCTTTCTTTTTCTGTTCTAATTTGCACGTGAAAGTTCAAAATATGATCAGAATCCCACCATATGGTCAAACTTTAATGCCAGTTCATATCAGTGCACAATTGTTCGAATTTTGGACCAAAAATTACACTGGATAGAATGCAATCCTAGGATTCAAGCCTGGGATTGATTTTGTCCATTTCCTAAAACTAATCCTATGACTACTTATAAATTGAATAAGTTCTAACAAAGGATGGACACAAATTTTGAGAGAAAAAGTTTGAAGAAAGAAAAGTTTAGAGAATTTTGGTAGTAGGGATATTCTAGAAATTTTGGGACTTTGGGTTCAATTTGGAGTTTCTAGGCTTGATTTTAGGTTGTTGGAGTTGGAATTGGGATTTTGGAAAGTTCTGGGAGTAATCAAGGCAAATTTTAAGAGAAATCTGAGGGAAGTTTGAAGAAATCTGAGTTTTTTTTTTTGTTTTTCTAGGTATTTAGGAAGAACATGAGTTTTTCAATGAATTTTTCGATGATCGTTTAAATTTTTTTATCATTTTCCAATGAAGTTTTCAGAAATCAGTGAAATTTTCAATTTTTGGTTAAACTTTTTCGGCATTGTCCTTCAGGTTTTAGAGAGAATGAAAGGATTTTTGAGTTAGAAGGAAGAGTAAAAGAGATTCTAAAGCAAAAACGCTGGAAGTGGCTTATATAGCAACTCAAAATGACGTCGTTTTGAATAACCCAAGATCCGTATGTTGACCCAACAACCTACGTGCTGACCTGCATTATGATCGACCCGATCGTAGGTTTTCTTTTTTTCATTTCATTTTATTTTTTGATTTTATTTTTTTAACCCATTTTATTATTATATTTTTTTTCTTTTTTTTTTTTAAATGCTATTTTATTTCTGAAAGTAAAAAAATGATTCCATGATAAAAAAAAAGATCTTTTCAAAAAAACAATCTTTTCGAATAAAGTTTTCAAGAATATTTGTGAAATTTTTTCAATAAAAAAATATAGAAAACAATTTTTTAAAATAAAACTCTAATAAAATAAATTCATAAAATTTTATCATACTATTAGAGAATTTTTATGGATTTAATTTTTAAATGGAATCCACCAAACTATTAAGAAATTCCATGAATTATTTTTAAAAATAAAAGTATAAAACTTTTTTGAAAATAAATAATTTTTATCCTTTAAACTATTGAAAAATTGCTTCAAAGTAAATTCTACCAAAAACTATAGAGAGATTTAATTTTTTGAATAAAATATTTTATGAATTCAACGACGAAACCTCTTCAAAATGAGACATTAATCTCTATGAATACTCTTGAGGTAAGAAAATTATATTAAATTACTATCAAAATATTAGGATAATTTTAAGACTAATTTTTAATATTAAATTATTTAGTAAATCACAAAAATAATTAAAGCTTAGATAATTTAAAATCAAACTGATACCATCCTTTGGATGGATATTGTGAAGGTGCTACAACCTTCTCCATGAGTAATCAACTCCCAAACCTAACATCTGTTTTCGCAAACCAAAATATATTTAAGAGGGTCAATTACACTTAAACAAAAAAAATTTGTGACAACTTCTTTTAATCTATATCTAACGGTAGGTTCATAAATTTATACGTTATGACAAAAGATATAGAATTTACGTTGCATACATACATTATTTTCCCTTATATTTCACTATCCTTTAACATTTTCTAGTTCGATGAAAGGGTAATTTTTTTTCTATGCAGCAAATGCTCTATGAGTATAAGCTCCACATAGTTTAAATAACGATGCCCTTATGGACTCTACCATGGCTTTCCACATCTTATGTTCATTCATTAACTGATAAATTCTCCATCCAATATGTTGGGTCCTATGCCATAAAAAGAGCACTGAATGATCTCATCAAGGTGATCGGAGTCACATTCTCCTTCCAAGTTGCTACTAAATTGAAGTCTACAGAGTTCAAATTTCTTGGTAAAAGGAATCTGCTCTTGGCTGTTACACATAAGAAAATTGCTAAAATCTCGAATCCAAATTTGGCACAAGTTGGTGAAAAGGGACCCCTATAATTGCTAGTTAGGCCTATAAATTACGGGTACAGCATTGATAAAAAGCTCAGATAATCAGCAGGGAAATATCAGCTTCGTTAAATTCAATCTCAAATGAGGTCTACGAGTCTTGGAAATTGAAACATTAATCTTGGATATCCTAATCTACTATTTTGTTAAAGAACCATCAAACTTACTAGATAAATCTGTCAAAAAACGAGCACATATATCCATCGATTTATATGCACCAAATCTCTGGAAAGAACAAAAGCATAATGTTCAAACTTCAATGTATTAAAACTATTCTTGCAATTCAGTGAGTTGAAGCACTAAAGAAGACATGGTGCCCATGACATTGACCTCGTCCACCAGCATATACTATTCTTGAATGAAAGGGAAGAGAAGCTTTTGCAATAATGATGTTCGTATAATAATAATCCTAATTGAGACAGGTCTTGTAGCTTGTCTTCAAAGCATAGTGCTTAGACATAGAAGAAATGGTTATGATGAGCTTGTCAACTTATTTATCCTATTAATAAAAGTATCTTGCCTTTAAAAATTAAAAAAAAAAAAGACAAAAAATAGTTACATCTTACATGCTATCCGGCAAACAAGATTTGGCCTAAATGCATGACCGGGACTTACAAAAATCAACCATAGTTTGTTGGCTCGAGATTCACAAACAACATGATGTGAAAGTTGAACATAATGATTTCCATCAGAAGAACCTGAAAGGTTTAAGTTCTTTTATTTTAACCCAGATGTGATCCTCATACTTTTGTACCATCAGCATATTTAGCATAGGTAACAAATTACAGCTGATACTGATTGTTACATATCATCAAGTTGATTCTATTGCAATTATGTTAACAAGCAGTTAATATAACTTGACACAAATTTTTAGTTTTTTTACATAGATAGCAACATCATAAGCATGTTAAGCATGAGTACCAAAGAAATTGCCAGGTGGTACAACTAGTTACAGACAAAGAACCAACGCTTCTATACATGTTATGCCTCTCTAATAAAAGATTAGAGAGATTATATTTACTGATACTACCTGCTGCTCCATATGTATCTGCTCCATTGCATTGAAATAAGATGTAACAGATTTAAGGGCTTTCACAGAACTCCATCTCCTGAACCACAAAAGAAACAACACTTAAAATCAGATGCATCCCAAAAATTCTGGAAAGGGGATATCAGGTCATAAAGTAATTAATCCATCGAGAGAAAGAGGCTAAATAGAGTGTTTGGAAAGTAGGTAGTCAACAAAAATTGCATATGACACTGGTATATTTAAATAAGTTACCTGATTCCTATTATCTCAAGCCAATAGACAAAACCAATCAACAATCTTGGTAGTTAATCTTGTTCACTATATTACAAAATTTACCCTAAAAACCCCATGGGCTAAACTATAATACAGAGACTGCACTTATCTGCAATTTACAATGAGTAATTTGGTAAATACTACATACCTTGCCACATATTGGACAACTTTCACTCCTTTCCAACCATTCATAAATACAACCAAGATGAAAATGGTGCGAACAGCGAGCAGTGATTTTAGGATTTTCTGGGGTATATTCTGCAGGAAATTAATCACTCATGTATAAAAGCATAACTTTAAAATGCTTAAAAAAATTGCATTTTTCAATCTAACCATTACCACCGCTGCTTATTAAAATCTTACCATACGCCTATATTGAAAAATAACAAGCATACCCATAGAACTACAAAACAGAAATCTTTATTCTTTAAAGACATAAATATGCTAAATTACCATCAAGACAAGTGGGACAGACATCTTCATCTTCAGATGAAGACTGCAAATAGTTAGATCCGTATGCCACTTTTAGTGCCAAAGTCCTCTCCGATGACTCAGGATTGACAATCTTAGAGTCTTCTTCTGACTCGACTCCATACCGTTTCCTCCCAATACCCAATGATTCCACACCAGAACTGCTGATACTTCTTCTTAGCGGTTGTGTTTCTTCTTGAAAATGAGTTACAGACTTATCACGCCTAGAGACCAAGCCGTCACGCTGCAAGCGAGAGTACCTTTGTTCAGTATCATAAGGGACCGGTCTGGACATTGTAACATGAGTTTCATTGGCTGAAATATTTGGTGTTGTAGTAACAATTTCCATTGATGACAGAGAAGCTCCTTGGATCTGGGATGATACAGGGCGCCCTTCCAATCTATGAAACAGTGCACCATACTGCAGATCAAAGAAGAAACAGAAAATTAAGAATTTATTTCATCAAACTAAACTTAGGTATAAATTGGGTTATATGACATCATGAAAGCAACAAAACTAATGCACTTGCCTTTCAAGAGAAACACAGTACATACACAATCTTTGTACAGCTAATTTAGTATCAAAAGAATTTCTTCTGAATTTCAGAGAAATTCTGTCTAGGAGTATTTATAAGCTTTATAAAATTCAACCTAAAACAGATTAATTTCATGCAAATTGAGGCTCAGAGCAATTAGCAAAGCAACATTGATATCAGCTTTATACCTTAACTTCACTGTTTACAAATTTAAGGGCATGTATCGGCAGCATAAAAATGAATACATGTTGCTTTTGTGCAGATAAATACAAGATAAGAAGAGACATACCCCAGTGAATAGCTGGTAGAAGAAGAATCTTAGGCAGATGCAGTGCCTATATATTGAATTGCTAGGATAAGCATATTCTTCATAGTCATCACCACATGGACAGCAGCAAAAAGCACCCATTTATGCTCACAATGTATGTACTTCTGATTACTCGATTCTAGAAAGACTTTTAAAGCTTGCAGAGAAATTTATAAACAAAAATTGCTTCAGCTTCCAAATGCAAGAAAAAAGCCTAAGGGATTGAGAGAAAAAAAAAGAAAGAAATTTTACAATGAAAAGCAGATTCTGCCATACTCACGGGAGAAACACAAACCTTGCTAAATCTTTTGTCACAAAAGCCGCTCAGTTCATCAGTGTTGTGCCTGAATTCCGAACTTCAATTCCTCTCGAGAAAAAGAAATCTGATACATAGATAATGAGAAAAAGATTAGGGTAATGCTTAGCAGCAAGAAAAAGACAAGACAAGACACCTCCTTCATAGGAGCCTGATAGATGCCACAACAATTGGGTATTTCATGGTAAGCAGAATCCTAAAAATACTCTATTTTGTTTTGCCACATCCATAGGAGTTCCTTTTCAACAACGAATTTAACTCAAAATAGTAAATTAACATACACATTGAACATTGTTTTCCCTTCAAATGCAAATAAAGAAAGAAAGAAGCAAAACTTCCAGCATATCACGGGCAGTAGAAAATTTTCCATCAAAATGGTGATAAAACAACAACGCAAATAATCAGCATTGACCCTATTTCATTAGAGAAATAAAACGCCACAAAGAAATTACAATATCCTTGAATAAAAATAACTTCAAGATATTTGCAAGTTCAGAGTCAACAACTATACTTACCAACAAGAAAAAGAGGCAATCTACTGTCTTATTTTAAACTAATAAGATGCAAAGCAAAGCTAATTCAGCGCGTAATTTTTTTTCTTTCAACAAAAAAAAAAAAGGCCCAGAAAGTAATGAAACAACACTTACTCATCATCAACTATTAGACCAGCATTTTCACGATCATAAGTAAAAAATAAAATAAAATAAAACAAAATGAAAACCGGAAATTTAGGGTTCCTGCAAGAAGAAACAAAGAAAGCCTAAAAGAGAGAGAACAGGGGACTTTCTATTTTTATAGAGAGGCTAAGAGAATCTAACGTGCGCCATGGGCGGAAGACAAGTATGAAAAGGATTTTTCCTTCTGATGATTTGGGAGATGTTTCGGGAAGAAAAAAAGGAGTAAAAGAGGAGCTTTTATTATTGCAGGGTTGAAGGTACGGAACAAATGCAATGAACCGGAATTATTGAATGTGTATACCAGTTTATCATTACGATAATGTTAATCTGTCCCGTAAATATATTATTTTTTTCGTTTTAATCATTATTAATTATGGATTTACAGTTAGCTACCGACAGCAACATGGTTTGTCAATAGTACCTTCGGTAATAAACTCAACAGCACAATCAATTACGATTAAGGAAAAAAAGAGACCCTTGAATTTTATGCTTCAGTGGGGTCATGTTCCAGACAGAAGGCTTTTGAGTAGTGGAACGGGATATATTATTATTATTATTATTATTATTAGTAGATAATAATAATAATAATAATAATAATAATAATAATATAATAATAATAATAATAGATATTTATGTTAACTCAATTTACTATTTTATTTTAATTTGTTGGAATAAAAGGTAATTTTATCACATGTCGCTATAATCTTGTTCATTGAATTTTATCCTTATATTTTCAAATTTGGTGATTTTTCAATCAAAGCTAAGGAAAATTAAATATTCTGTAAAATATTTTATTAATTATTTAAAATAATTTTTTAATTAAATAAGAAAATATGTTGTGGATATTACAAGCGTAGCAAAATGTACATGTGACGTGTCACATCATAGAACTTATTATTTTATTTTTTATGAAATTTTTTTATAGAATAAATAATTTTTAAATATTAATTTAGAAGTTTTTTTTTCAAAGAAAAATTAATTCCAATATATGAACAAATAAAAATAAAAAAAGCTATAAGCATAAAAATAAATAAATAAATAAACAAAAATGCAAATGGTGTGCTGGAAACTGAAGAATAACTTTTTGCATCCTATTTTATGTTTTATTGAAAACATTTAAATATATTAACATAATATTGTGTGAGATATTTCTATTTGGTACAATAATTATCAAAATCGACAATACAATGAAAAAATTCAATGAAATCAAAATATAGTTGCAAAATTCAACATTTTACCTACAGTATAGTGGTAACTTTACCCTTTTATCTCAATTTTATTCAAGTTAGCTAATATTTTTCAATTTAAATTATGTCAAAGGTTCTTAAATTTTATGAAAATTTAAAATTTAATTTTTGTATGGTAATTTTTATAAATTTAGTTCTCATATTATTTTGATTTGAGATTTTAGTCTAATCACTAATTTTATTATTTTTCATTAAAAATGCTAATATGACCATTAACTTGATGATGTAGGTGTTAACTTTACTATGACATTAACTTGCTGATATGATAATTAGAATAAATGAAATCAATTATTAAATTATACAAATGACCTTTTTACTTATACAAAATTTGAAATCAAATCTTATATTCTTACGAAACTTCAAATTTAGTCTCTACACTCTTATGAAATTTAAAATTTAATCTTTCTAATATAAAATAAATATTTTGAAATTTTAAGAAATTTTTTTTAGTTTTTAAAAAATATGAAAATTTAAAAATTACCACAATATTTTGTTACAATATTCTATCATAATATTGAAAAATCTATCACAATATTTTATCATAGTTTTCATATATTGTCATTAAATCTGTCACAATTTTTATCATCCATGTGAAATATTGTTGTTAATTCCTTCAATATTTCTTGTTACATTCTATCATAAAATATAAAATATGTTACTAATTTTGTCACATTTTTCTATCACAACTATATTATATTGTGGCCATATGAAAAAAACTATTATACAAATCTATTAAAAATTTATTACAAATTTGTCAATATAGGTCTATGATACAAATTTGTCACTATTTAATTTTAATAAAATTATTATTTTTTATTAATTTATGAAATGAATTAGAATTAGAATTTCATCCCAAAAGAGTAAAATTATCCATCAAACAGTGTTTCCATTCCTTTTAAACTAAACTTTATTTAAATGATTTTTTATAATCAAATATAGGTTCAAGATTCTAAATATATTAAACCAATTTACTAAATTCAATGTGCATTGGTTTTAGAATTAACTTTATTATTTAATTTAATATAATTATTTAGATAAATTCTTTTTGCAAAAACCCAAAAAAATTTAAAATTCTTGTTATTATACATGATATTAATGTTTCAGTTTATCAAACAAATCATTTTCTCCTTTCATTATGTTAGGATCAAAGTTTATCTTTTAAATGGATAGGAGCTCATCTTTTAAAAAAATCTTAATTTGAAGCTCTTATTTTGTTTGGTTTGATGAAATTGTCATTCCATTTATAATCCATTTGGGGTTCATAACAAATGTAGTTTTCTTGGAAAGTTTGATTCAATATAAATTTTGTTATATAATATATTTAAAATAATTAAAATAATATTAATTTTGATATATTAATTTAAATTATTAATTTTATAATTAATTAATATAATGATGATAATATTATTAATATGATGTTATTAATAATTAATTATTATAATAAAAAAATATATTTCTAAAAATATTTTTTATAATAAAAGGATTAAATATTTTTAAAATTTAATATTTTTTAAAAAACTAAAAAATTTCTAAAAAATTTAAAATATTTTTTGTATTAGAGGGGGCTAAATTTTAATTTCATGCAAATATAGGGATGAAATTTTAAATTTTGTTTGAGTACAATGACTAAATTTTAAATTTCGTATGAGTAAAGAGATCATTTGCATAATTTAATTTGTGATTTTATGCATTCAAATTGTTACATTAATAAGTCAATGTCATGTTAGTAAAGTCAAAGCTCATGTCATTAAGTCAAAGGCCACATTAGCATTTTTAACGGCAAAAAATAAGCAGAATTAATGAGTAAACTATGATTATTAAATCAAAATAATACGAGGAATAAATTTATATGACCATAGTATAAGAACTAAATTTCAAATTTTGACACAAAATATAGTAACTTTCAACATAATTTGACTTATTTTTCATTTGTTAACTTTTAGACATAAAGTAAAAAATTAAAATATTTTATGAAATATTTTCTCGATGCAAATGGAAAATTTCTCTAATATGCATTCAACTTCGTTGGTTTTTGGATAAAAAATAATGGAATTATATTTCACAAGTATTCTATTAATGCAAATGACAATTTTTCATTAATACTGGCAACATGTCCAGGCGTTACAGCATGTCCAAAATTTCTTTATTTGTATTTAATAATATTTTTTATTAATTTAATAAATCAATAAATATACATTTTTATAATTAAAAAAAAATCAATTAATTGATAGATAATGTATATATTTTATTGTCATAACTTATATACAAATCAAAGTCATATCTACTCTTTCAAATTTATCTTTACAAATATTAGTTAAAAAATATTAAAATAAATAATTAACAAACTAAAAATTAAAACTAAAAAAGAAAAAAGAAAGACCCAATAAAAAGAAAAAAATGCCAAATAAAAGTGTCATGTGAATACTTCCATTTAGGAATGGCATCAAGTTGGGTAGGGGTAGGTTTATACTCACCTAACTTTGATATGACATCGAGTTATTATTTTTTACAATTGACTCTGATCCAACATATATATATATTTATGTATATATATATATATATATATAACCCGCATCTAACTCGACTTGATAAAACATAAATTTAATAGTATAACATTCATAAAACATTATTTTTAATATAAATTACATCTTAATTATATATAAAAATAGTATTTTAATAAATTGAATAATAAATTTATCAATACAATACATATATATAAATATAAATTAAATAAATAATAAAATATATATTTTTATATATAACTTGGGATAGGGATAGGACAAAGCATCCTAAACTCATCACCAATCTTATCCCAATTTTCAAAAAAGAAAAATCACCTCATATTAACCTGATTCTTGTTTTAAAAGAATCACCTTTGTTAGATCAATGGATTGAAACTCATTGGATACAGGTTATTTTGGCATCATAACTTTTATTGACCCCATTTTTTATAACATTTATCTCATTAAAAAGGAAAAAAAGCAAAAAAAACAAAAAAACAAAAACAAAAACAAAGGGATGGCTAAAAAAGGAGAAAGAAAAAGGGAAGAGGAAGCAAAACAAATATGCCACGTTGACATTGTAATTGCACATTTATTTTTCCAAACATAGATAAGAAATAGTAAAATAGACAATTAAAAACAAAAAAAAATGAAATAAAAGAAAGCCAAAACAAATAAAAAAGAGGACCTAAGAAAAAAACCTAAATAGGGATGTCATATAGACACCTTCATTTAAAAATGGCAAAGGTGAGCAAGTTTATACTCATCCTGACACTAAGCCATTTTTAATAATTTAATTTGACTTCGAATATGACTCAACATCGAGTTATTATTTTTTATAATTAATATCAACCAACATATAAATCTATAACCCATATTCAGTCCACATTAATCAAAATTTAATTAAATGATATAAATTTAGCTAATGTTCATAAAAATTCTTTAGTATAAACTATATCTTAATTATGTATCAATATAAAATTTTTATTAAATTAAGGAATTAAATAATATTATTATTAATTAATATATGTATAAATTAAAAAAAGATAAAACAATATATTTTGATGTATATTTGAAGTGGGGCAGGCAAATCACCTTAAATGGCTAAACCCATATCAGACCTGACCTTTATTTTTTAAAAAAGAAAACTTGACTTGATCTTGAATTTTAAAAAAAAAGCATATATTATGTCGGGACAATTGAAAACAGACACGAATTGTGTTATCATCCATACCTATATTGGCTTATTTCTCACAAAATTTATTTAATTAAAAAAAGTCAAAACAAAAAAATGACAAAAAAAAAAAAGGAAAACCAAATGGATGTGCCATGTGGACATTTTCATTGGCCTTATTTTCTTACAAAATTCAATGTATAAATTAAAAAAATAAACTAAAAAAAGCAAAGAGCTAAAAAAAAAAAAGAAAAAAAATTGGATGTCATGTTGGCACTTCCATTTGTATCATTTTTTAATAAAATTATCTAATTTTAAAAAATAAAAATATTTGGAAAAAATTAAATAAAAATTATCAAATGAATCCCATAATTTTTTAAAAATAAAAGTAAAATTATTTAGTAAATATGGAAAAAATAGAAAAAGAAAAAAGAAAAGAAAAAGAATGAATGAAAAGAATGAAAAAAAGGAACA